TCTTTATAGCCACAGTTCTTTGATAAATTTAAAGAAAAACAGGACTGGGGACCTCCAATAGCATTTGACTGTTGTTTCAGTTAACGATAACTGTGCACAAGGGGAGAATAACCCCTTTGTGGCCTCCGCTTCCTGATATTCTCACGAAACTGCCTCTCTTTCTCCTCTCTCCCCCCCCCCCCCACACTCCCCCCTGGGAAGCACTGCCTCCCTGGCCTTGACCTGCCTGTCATATTAGCTGTTTGCTCCGTTATCAGGACTTCCCACAAGAGGAGACCCACTCCCACACATCCAGACCAGTGATTTTAGATTTGTTTCTCTGTTTCCTTTGACATCCATGAAGACATGCTGACCAGGAGGCTGTGAAGAAGGCGAGAATGAGCCTTCTAGGCCGGTGGGTGAGGGACAAAAGATGGAGGGGGTCCCAGCAGTCTTGGACAGCACTGCCACTTTCAGCCTGGCTGACGGAACACCTTCCCTGTTAACCACGCACACGAGGTTCGGCCTGGGGCCGATCTGCTGTACAGACCTCTCTAACCTGCTGGGGGGCAAGGATGCCACTTTGAGGACCAGGGTGCCCCCGGGACACCAGCCAGGGCCTTGTCTGTGGCTGCACATGCATCCCAACTGTGGTGGGGGCGCGAATTATGGGAAGTCCCCTGGACGTCAGAAGAACAGACCAGTCTGACAGTCATCACAGCCTCTCCCTCTCCCCCTCCCACCAGTCATCACAGCCTCTCTCCCGCTCCTTACCACTGAAGCCTCCCTGACTTTCTCAATCCCTTCACTCATTAGCTTCCCGCTGACATTGTTCAGCCTCAGGTGCTCTTTCCCTGCCCCCTCTGCATCCCAACCAGCCATCCCACACCATCCCCATCCGTATCGGGTTATTGGGAGATTTCCGGCTGATTCTGACTCACAGCCATCCCACGTGTCTGCTGGGCTGTCATCCCCTAGGTCTTCCTCCTCCAGAGTCTGTTGGGCTCAAACGGCCAACCTGGGGATTAGCAGTTGAGTATTAACTGCTGCACTATGAGGGCTCCTGACACTCACCATATACGAGGTGTGTGAGTTCCGGTCGACTATCATATGTGTATAAGGAATAACTTTATATCAAAGAGTACTTGTATATTAAGAAAACATCCCAGCCCAGTCCAGATCAAGTCCATAAGTCCAATATTAGCTCATATGTTTGATACCAGTCTATACATTCCTCTTCAGACTCCCAAAACACATGCAATGATGCAGAATGCAGGAAGATCACAGGCCAGTGGGTGGAAAGTGGTGGATCCAGTGGCAGTGGAAGCATCTCAGTGCTGACAGGGGTCTCCAGGTGGCTCCTCCTGCTCCAGGGCTCTGGCTCCATCAGCGTAGCTCCATGTGAGTTCGCAACAGGAATGCGTATCAGAGGTAGTGTCTGTCCCGCCTCCAGGCAGGAAGACTGGAGTTCCCAGAATCCTCAGGCGAAGGCCATGCCCACACAGAGGCCTCATTGACTGTGACCTGATTGACAGGCTAGACTCCACCCCTTTGCAAGTTGACAGGTGATGTAACTGCCACACAAGCATATCCCCACCCCCGCGTTTTTTTCAAAGATAGGTATTTATTTATTTATTTTTACAAAACAACCTCATTGCCTTCAAAATACTCTCCGTTACACTTAATACCTTTGTCAAATCTGTGATTCCATTCTTGGAAACGTTTTTTAAATTCATCTGTTTGGATGGCTGGCAGCACCTCCCTCATTTTTTTCTTCACCTCTCCTCTGTGATCAAATCACTGTCCTTTCATGTCCCCCTTCATTCACAGAAACAAAAAGAAGTTGCATGGAGCAAGGTCAGGTGAGTCAGGTGCATGGGATGAGAGGCACGCTGTTTTTTTGGCCAAAAACTGGCACACCGAGATGGCTGTGGGAACAGGTGCATTGTCGTGGTGGCAAAACCAGTCTCCTGTGTGCCACAAATCAGGCCTTTTTTGTCACACACTGTTACAAAATATTTTCAGAACCTCTAAATATAAAGCTTGATGAGCAGTCTGACCTAGTGGAACAAGCTCCCAATGCACGATTCCCCTCACAGCAAAACAAATGAGCATCGTCTTGATCTTTGATTTCACTTGACGAGCTTTTTGGGGGCGAGATGCTGATGGCGTCTTCCACTGGCTTGTTTGCTGTCTGCTTTGGGGTTGTAGGATAGCACCTTGTCCCGTCCCCAGTCATGACCTTGGGAAAAGTCCGGGTCACTTCGGAGCTGTGCTTTCAAAACACAGCAGTTTCCAGGACAGGCTTTTCCCCTCGAGGCACAACTTTCCCAGCGACCCTTCGCATTCCAAAATCTTCCATTAAAATTCGCTGAACTGAGCTCTGAGATAGTCCAGGTAACTTCCCCATCTCTTCAACGGTCCGTTATCAGTCTTCCAGCACAAGTGCTGGATTTTGTTGACAATTTTGTCTGTTTGGGAAGTTGATGTACATCCATAAGGTTTGTCATCAATCGACATTTCACCTCTTTGGAAATGAGAAATTTTCCCCATAGCGCTGTCCTTGCAAGCTGTGTTCAACTTTGCAACAGTTTCGGCAGCATTTTTCCCAAGCAGGAAACAAAGTTTCACAGCCGCACGCTGTTCTCTGAAATCGGCCATCACAAAAAAACGAGGTTCCAGTGAAACTGCTTTGATGAGAATATTCACTGTGACCAGAGAACCTTCCCAGGCGACCCTCTGGATGTGTTCCCTCAGAGCGGAGAGTTGCTGAATGCTCGCCTAGCGGGAAAAATGTGTGCTAGGAAAGCTCTGCCCTTTTCTGTTTTAGGGGGGGCGTATCCCCTGGTACATATTCTCAATGTACTTCTCAGTGACCCCCTTGAGGCTGTGACTCAGGGGGGCCTGGGCCTTGCAATGACCCTTGGACCTTGTGGCTCCAGGAGGGTCTCTGAGGCCAGGCCCACATCCAGGTAGGACCCTGCTCTGATGGCCACTCCACTCCAATCCCGACTCTGGCCTGCGGCTCTCAGGGCCAGAAGAATGCAGGCGAGCAGTAAGGGCCACTCTAACCCGAGAGAGGGGCCAGGCCAGTTCTGGGGGTCTCACGGGGCTTCCTGGGCCAGGCGTAGCCCAGCAGTCAACACCTTCTTTCCAGAGGTAATTATTGTCAATAGTTTGGGTGTAAACTCTTTTCTGCTCTATTTTTATATGCATTTATAAGAATCCTATACCGAGATAAATTTGTTTACAGAGCTCAGTTACCTTCACATTTACAACCTGTAAATGCATCTTGGATATGAGCCCTTATCGGTACCTGTAGATCACTCATTCTTTTGGATGGTTAGGCAGTGTGGTAGTTACATAATCTGCCAAATAGAGGGTAAAAAGAGTGAAGGCGTGGTGTCTAGCCTGCCAATCAGGTCGAAGCTAGGTGACCTCATTTAGAGGCCCGATGGAGATAAACAGCTCACTGGAGCCCAGACCTTCCACATTCCTGTTGACAAGCCACGTGAAGCCATGCTGATGGCAGCGAGGAGCTGGAGGGGCCACGTGGAGAGCCGTGCCAAGACTGAGCTGTGCCAAGACTTTCCACCCACGGCCTGTGATCTTCCAGCTTTCGGCATCATTGCAGGTGCTGCATGAGTCTGGAAAAGAATTCATGGATTAGTATTGGACATATGGGCTCATATTGGACTTATGGGCTAATATTGAACTCAGGGAGTTGATCTGGACTGGGATGGGATGTTTTCTTAATACATGTGTTAGACAGGGTTCTCTAGAGATATAAAACCAGGATATTTGTGAATATATATATACATATATATACACAGCATGAAGAAATACAACAACTAATTAGTCCTCACAGCAGTACAGAGGGCTCAGTTCAACTCACGTCCATGAAACAGTTAATGTACTGGAAGTCCTTCACCTCATGAGGGCTGCTGGGTCCAAGGTGAAGGAAGCAGACAGCTGAGTCTTCCATAGAGCAATGCAGGCAGTCTGGCCACAGGCAGCAAACAGCAGGGCGGGTCACCAACAGTCAGCCAGATGACAGGGTCCGGCAGCCCCCCGCTCAAGCGTGGCGAAGCGGGTCTTGAAGGAACCTCAAGCTCTAGTGACAAGATCCACAGGTTGGCAGTCCCAGAGGTAATGTAGCTCACAAGCTGAGGCAGAGAACTAGCTAAAGCAGCTGCAGGCTGGTCTGATTGCCAGAAAGCAAGAGAGAGACAGGCGGGGCTTGCCGAGCCATTTATCTCTTTGCCCTCCAATCAAACTGCAACGTTATTAATCCCACATGTTCCTATTGGCCAGGTTGGCCCAGTAAACCTACCTATCACAATATAGAATTACTCTTGGATATAAAGCTCTCTCTTCCACACACGTGAGTCTCCCTGGATGTTTCTCCAGTGCACCTGCGTCTCGCACAGGCAGTGTCCCGGGGCAGGAATTGACTGCGAACCATCTCACTCACTCTCCATGGCTGGATGTTTATGTCTGAGTCATGCTGTGCTTTTTCCAGAGACCGTCTCTCTCGCTACACTTTTGCGTTGAGGGGGTCAGTAGTTCTGGGGTTTTGCCTCTGTGGCCAGGGCTTTGCCCATTTCTAGCAGAAAAGAGCGGGAGCACTTTCATCTTTCCCTGGAGGGAGACCCACTGTTGGGGCGTCCACCTGACGCCCGAGTCACAGCTGCCCTTGTGACATCACCAGCCTCCCCTCTCTGCTCATCATCCTGCCTGGGCCACGCCGAGGCAGACACAGACCTCAGGGGCCTGGAACCATCTGCACCCAATCCATGTGTGGCCAGCGGTGAGTGTGAGCCACCTGCACACAGCAGGCATGTGCAGGGTGTCACCATGTCGCTCAGGATGAGGGGACCCCCGTTCGCATCCGGAGACACGAGGAACCCGGAAGCTAAGCAAAGAAGGGTGGGGGTGTGGTGGGTGGGTGTCTCTCTCACGGTGACGGCAGGGTCTGAAAAATGGAGCAACCCAGCAACGGCGCTGTATCTCAGCAGGCTGAGACGGCGGTATCTCTTCTGTCGTCACCACCAGAGACTACCGAGAGATCGCCGAAGGTAGGCGGAGCTCCGAGTCAGATGCGCCTGTGTCTAGCACCTTTTTCAGGGTCCGGAGTTAACAGTGAGGCTCCACTCTCTCATCTATCTAGCCTCTTCCCCATTTCCTACCCCCCCACCCCCCAAACCATTTTCTTGGGAGAAAGATCTAGCATTCCACCATTCAGCCACACCAAGCAGGATTGTACAATTGCCTACCACCATCCGTTTCAAAGCATCCTTCCCCTTGCAGAACTCCTTGACATCAGCTCCCTTTTACCCCACCCCACCCCCACCGTACCCCCAGACCCCCTTATTCTACTTGCTGTCCCTATAGGTTCATCAATCCTGAAAAACAGGAAAACGTATGACCAAAATTCAAGAGGGTGACCCCCAGTGACATCACACATCTGAGAAACAAACCCAGACGGGAGGGGACCAACTGAGAAGGTTTTCACCGTTGAGGCCAGGCTTATCATTTGGATCTTGTGTCTCATCTCTCCCACCCTCTACCATGGATCGAGGGAAATCACCGCCCCATTTCCTTTGCAGATGAAAGAGGAGGAGTCCCCGTGGATCAGAAAGGTATGCAGCCCAGAGCGCCCAGGGTTAGGGGTGGGGGTGGGGGTCTGCGGATCTGCACAGGAATGTCCCAGACACGCGAGGCTGGGCGGTCAGAGCTGCCTGGGGGGTGCGTGCGTGTTGGCTTGAGAATGGACACTCGGGTGTGTGAAAGTCAAGAGTGAGGAAGCAGACGAAGGGTTCGAGATCACGTTTTCTGAGGGAGCGGGGCTTCGAAGGCTTCGCCCGGGAGGAAGGACCGTGGTCACTCACTGACCCAAAGGTCATGGCGGTCGGTCCTGCCTAAGGCCGGCCAAACCCATCCGTGTGAACTGGGCAGCTGGTGCTGCCGGCCTGCCGTCTTTACACATGAGGATGCCCCCTCGCCCCCTGGACAAGGCACCTGTGATTGTGAATGTCAGTCCAGGACATCTGACTGCCAAGGCTCCTGAGCTGCGCAGGGCAGAGGGCCGGGGCCCATGCGGGGCGCTCTGTGATGCAGGGTGAGTGAGGGGTGCTCCCTGAGCCCCCACCCTTGTGTGCTCTTACAAGCCCTTAGAGAAGACCACCACCTCCCTGGAACATCGGAAAGCCATCGAGATCCAGGCCTGGTGGCGCGGGACGCTGGTGCGGCGGACGCTGCTGCACGCGGCGCTGCGGGCCTGGGTCATTCAGTGCTGGTGGCGGCTGACGCTGGCCCGGCGGCTGGAGGGGGAGCGGCGGGCCGCGCTGGACCTCTTCTCGCGGCGGGAGTGGGCGGCCGTCCAGCTGCAGGCCTGGCTCCGCATGTGGCTGGCGCGCCGTCGCTACGCGCAGGTGCGCGCCGCCGCCCGCACCATCCAGGCCCGCTGGCGCGGCCACGCCTGCGCTTCGCGGGGCCTCATCCAGGGCCACTACCGGGTGCTGGCCCACGGAGTGCACGTGGAGCTGCAGATCCTGCAGGCCCCCGGGCCTCTCGTCGTGACCCAGCATCTTCTCCTCCCAATAAAGGAATGAAGCTGTCGCTCCAGCCTCTGTCCCTGTGGGGTCGGGGCTGGCCCTTCTGAACAATCTACAGGGGTTCTGGGAGCCCTGTGCCCCAGGCGGGCCAGACCACGACGATGAGCACAGTGCTCCGGTCAGAGGATGTGGCCTGCGTCCTCCAGACAGTTAGGCCTGGGGCCTTGGGAATCCAGGGGCGGCCCCACTGTGTTCTAGGGGTTCAGCAGGAGTCAGAGCCGGCTTGACGGCAGGGGTTTTGGGTTTGGCTGTCTGTCCCAGGCAGGGACAGGGAGGTGCAGGGTCGTCTGTCCCAGGCAGGGACAGGGAGGTGCAGGGTCGTCACGTTGGCCCACCCCAGGGCCTCTCATTCACGCTCGTACGCATACAAAATCCAAGGGACATGGATCTAGACTCTAGGTTCTAGAGTAAGGTGACCAGATTTTAACATTGGTAAAGCGGGACAAAAGCGGGACACCATCGATAAAACTCATATCCTGGTGAAATACAGTAGTCACATGGCAGCTGTTTCCATTCTTTCAAAAAATCGGGACTTTTTAAAAAACGCCGCGGGAAAATGTATTACAACTGGGGACTGTCCCGTCAAAAGCGGGACGTCTGGTCACCTTATTCTAGAGGGGCCACAGCAGAGTATACCTTCCTAGGGAACTAGCAGGCGAAGTTGGGGGAGGAGCACAAGAAAGAAGAAAAATGTTCTGCAATCGCTTGTGCAACTCTCCTTCACGTCATCGAACTCTTGGTTGGGTGAATACGGCCACCCTGAGCCCACCCTGTGGCTGGTGAAACAGCAGCTCAGGGTGGCTGCCGTGGAGATGGCAAGCAAGGGACATCGGTCAGGGTTTGGCTGCCCGCTCCCCACCGATGTTTGAGAAGAGCTGCCCACCGACCCTGTGATGCTGCCCCTGGACCTGGATTCCGGTACCAGACCTCCGAGTCGGAGCCTGAGACCTGAACGGACGCTGTCAGTGAGCACGGAGCCCGCCCGCTCCCGCCTTGTGGGAAACAAAGATTTGTCCCCCAAATATATGTTAGACTTAGGACACTGCTGGCAGCTAATGGTAAAAGTTGCTTCCCTGTAGGCAGTCAGCTGCCAGACTGCTGTCTCCTCCCACCACCAGGGGTAGGCCTGCTCCTTGCTGCTAAGGACAACGGGCTACTTCTCCCTAAAGGTTCCGTGGGTGGAGCTCACACTCTACTGATAATGGTCTATAGTTGAGCCAGGGAACAGGTCAAATCGGCTCAGTGACATCCAAAGCTAGGCTGCCATCCTGTATCTAGGATCCACCCATCTTGCCACATGTGTACCCCCAATCCCTCCTCTTCCTATTGCGTGGATAACCCTAGATCACCCCCTCCCATTACTGCATTACCTATAGTACAACCCCTTCCTGTGACGGATGTCTTCACCTGTAACTAGGGGGCTTGCACATCCCCAGAGAATATAAAAGCCTTGGTTAGCATTAGATATCTCTCTCTCCACGTGGACCACCAAGCGGGGCTGAGGGAGCACTGCTACCATGAATTGTGTCTGACTCCATTATTTCTCTCTCTCTCCTATCTCTCATGCTCTCTATGACTTTACTATAATCTTTACTTATTGTCGCTGTGCAATTGCGCCTACCGGGCCGTGATGATGTGTTAGGGGCAGGGTCCCAGCCTCAGCTCCACTGACCCTCCAGCTTCAGAGCTGGCCAGCGTAGGAGGCTTGGCCTGCCCCGGGGTGGGGAAAGAAGGTGCTTGGCTCCAACTACTCAAATTATGAAATGTTAAGACACCTGTGAGAGCTCCCAAATAAAACGATGAATAATGAGTTTTTTAAAGGTATTGGGTTGTTGGCAGATGCCAGCTGCACTCTCAGTAAGACTGGCTCACACGGAGCTGGCCCTGGGTGGCCACCTGGGGTAGGAGGAGGGCCCGGTTCTGCGAGGCTGCCGGATGTCTTGCCTCTGGCTCTAGGGTGGGATTCCTGGCTCTGCTGCTCGGTGCTCTGCTGTTGCAGGAACTGGGGGTCTTGCAGGAGGGCCCAGGGAAAAGAGCGGACCCTTTGGAACCAGGCCAACCTTCGGGCAGACCCTGACTCCACCACTCACTGGGGTGGCTGTGGGCAGGGCACTTCTTTCTCCGGGTGCAGGGTTTTGGAGCCCTGCAGGGTATCTGGTTATCCATCCCCTCCCTGAGAACGGGTTATATATACGTAAAGCAGCAGTGGGTGTTTCTCCTAATAGTCTTATCAGCATGTAACTTAATAGGATATAGCCCAGGGGTTCTGATATGAAGAAGAGCTGTGGGATCACCAGCACCATCGATCGTAGAACATGTTTCTTCTTTCTTGTGCCCAGCCTGGTTAGCTCCCCATCCCCCACGCCCCCCAGCCTCCCCTGCTAGGTCCCTAGGGAAGCAGTCATCCCTTACGGGGTCTCTACATGGATGTAGCTTGGGCTTCGTACACGTCAGAACCTACCCGACAAACAACAACAATGACAAAGTAGAACAGAAACCATCTCCATAAGGAAGGAAGCAGGACACTAAAAACCGGGACAAACCTGAGGGGTCGGAGGGGTCGGTGGCACGTGGAAGCTCGGCGGCGTATCTGCCGCAGTCCACTTGACAACGCTGCCCAGGCCGCCAGAAGGTTGTTCCGGTGCCTGCAGATCCAACCCCAAGCCCCGTGGCCACGGGATAACAGTTCTCTGCTGCTTCTCACACGGGCGTTCTACCCCGAGTCCAGGTGAGTGTCTCAGTTCCTTAAACCTGCTGCAGGTGAGTTGAAGGTAAAGCCCCATTTGCTTACTGGGTTTCACATGGGATCCTGTGGTGCGGCCTAGGACGGATGCCGTGCACCTTCAAAGGACAGTCCAAGAAACCCCCAAGCACCCTTGGGAGAAAGACGGGCTGTGAAGAGTGACTGTCTTGGAAATGTGCAGGGACAGTTCTGCCCTGTCCTGTAGGGTCACTACGAGTTGAGGGCAGTGAGTTTTTTGAGTAAAACATCTTCCATTGAAGCGTATTTAAACTGTCTCCGTATTCTGGTGTTTCCAATTAGGTGGTGATGATTCCCTTGATACACACGTGTGCCGAGTCCAGCCCCTCCGAGGTCACGCGTCTCTCGAGGGCTTTGTCATCTGTCAGGATCAGAACCAACAGGACTGCCACCTCTCCCCTCGGGGCGGGGCTCAGCTCTGCTCTTCCCCCCTGGCCAGTGCCTGAGGCAGCAGAGGCCAGAGCTAGATTTAAGCAGTCTTTTCCCAGCCACGGGGACTCGCTGGTTGTGTAAGGGACAGCCAGAGCCATCTAAGTTTGCTGGGAGTCTTCCTTGAAAAAAAACAGGGGTCTCCTCTCTGTTGGGGGTCCCAGGAAAGGCTGGGGATCTGGAGCTGTTCAGGACCGTGAGGCATTATCAGGAGAACAAGCCGGGCGCCACTCCCACTCCTGTTTCCCCCTTGGCATTCACCTGCAGAAACCGGAAAAGAGGGCAGGGAACAGGGGGCGGGGAGGAAATGGAACAAAATGGGGGAGAAGCCAGATCCTTCTCTGTCGTTGACCCCAGTACCTCCCTGGGGTTGCTGGAGCCTTTGTCAGGGCCAAGGGTTAAAGGGTAGGGGGTCACTACATTGTTGATCTTTATTTCTCCTCTTGCCACCAGGTGGAGAGTGTGGGGTTGGCTGACTCCCAGAGGGAACCAGTTGAGGCGGAGGGGGCCGGAAAGCCTGAGCTCAGAGCGTTCAGGGCCTGGGGCTACGGGGTGCTGGCTGTGTTTGGGGAGCAGAACAGTTAACGTCTGGGGCCCCTGGCTCGAGGGTGCTGTGCATGTGTCCATGCGTGTGCGTGTGTACACGCCTATGCTTGTGCTCATATACATGTGTGCTGGCTGAAGTCCAGGGTGTCCAGAGCAGTGGTGAAGATGTCCCTCATCTGAGTGAACAGTGGCTCATCGGAGGAAGGGGCAGGGTTATAGGAAGAGAGAGTCGGGGCTGCTGGGTGGTGGGGGTTGAAAGGACCCTGAGTTCTCGAACCCTGCTGTGGCACCCAGGGGTGCCCGCAGCTGCTGCATGTAGTGTTCAGGCCTGGGTCCTTCCGCACTGGGTGCTGGTGCTGGCCAGGCTGGGGAAGAGGCAGTACCTGTGGCTCATCCGTGGGCTGTCCGGACGTGAGCTCCATGCTGCCCACTGGACCCACTGGGGATGGGGCATCAGCCGGGTCCTGACGCCGTGTGATGCGGTGAAGAATATTCCCAGCCTCCACCAAGGATCAGAGCATCCCCCCTCTGCCCCCCTCTGACCGACGAGCTCCAGGAAGACCTCAGAGAAAGGGACAGTGGCTCCTCGGGGTCCCCAGGGCAGCTCCGAGGAGGGGCCATCAGGAGCTCGGGTGGAGGATGCCGCCGAGGGGCTGGAGCAGCGTGAGCAGGCCCGTGAGTGACCAGAGATGCCCAGGGTGTCTGAGAACCTGCCGGTCTGGGAGATGTCGACCCAGGAGTGGATCTGCTGGCTCATTTGGGAAGTCAGTGTTTAACTGTTTGGGGAACAGCCACACCGTTCCTCCCCGGGAACGTTTTTCTGAGAACGCTCTGTGTTCTGAGGATTGACAGCCACGGGCAGTGGAGGGACAGCTGTGGACACGTCAGCCAGGGCCCCTGCCTTCTTGGACTTCCTATCTAGTGGGAAAGACAGAAAATAAACAAACAAACACCCCCTCCACCTGCCCCCCTCGAAAAAACGAACTCGCTGGCCCCGAGTGGATGCTGACTTGGAGCAAGCTTGGAGGACCGGGCAGAACTGCCCGTGAGTCTCCGGGTCTGGAACTCTTTATGGGAGTGGAACGTGGCATGGCTGGTGGTTTTGAACGGCTGGCCTGGCAGTTAGCAGCCCAATACCTAACCACAGCACAACCAGGGATTCTTTGACACGGACACACGCCAACCGTGAGTATCGCGTGGCGCAAAGCAGATGAACGAGAATACTGTTGTCAGGGACCCTCGAATTGGTTAGGGACCATCACAGCGACCCTCTCTGTGACAGTACAAAACACCGCCCAGCCCTGCGCCAGCCTCGCGGTAGTTCTGATGGGTGAGGCCCTGCTGGCAGCCGCTGTGCCCGTCCATCCTGGCCTTCCTCTTGCCGCTGCCCCTCTACTTGGCCAAGCAAAGTAGGCTCTTCTGGCAACGTGTCCAATGGACGTGAGATTTTCTCACCCTCACCCTTAAGGAGCATTCTGGCTGTACTTCTTCGCAAACAAAAGGACAGGGAATTCAAAGCTAGAGCAGGCACTGAGAGGAGGGAGCCACGTTAGCGAGGGCCACGGGGGAAAGCTTGTGGGAGAGCTGACCCCTGGGCAGGAGCTGCCATGCAAACATCTGGGAGGAGAGTCCTCCAGGTTGGGGGTTCCAGCCGTGACCAGCCACGCACACGTGGGGGAGGCTTCCCCAAACGGACGGGCCTTTCCTCCCCTCTGTTCTGAGTTCTGCTTAAAGCAGTGGTTCTCCACCTTCCTCAGGCTGCGACCCTTTCATGCAGTTCCTCATGCGGCGGTGACCCCCCCCAACATTACATTATTTTCATTGCTACTTCATCACTGTCATTTTGCTACTGTGATGAATCGGGCGACCCATGCGAAAGGGTCGTTCGACCCCCAAAGGGGTTGTGACCCACAGGTTGAGAACCCCCGGCTTAGAAGGTACACCCTTGGCTTTGGGATTTTCATCAGGAGATGCTCAAACGCTCCTGGTGACCGGAATACACAGCCAAGGCTGTAAACCAGTGCTGCAAACGAAGTCGTTGTGATGATTCACAGGGATGACCCAATTATCTTGGGGGGGGGTATGGCTCAATGTTCACGTGGCTCTCTGTTAGTGCAGAGTCAGCCCACAGGGTGCCCGAGGCCCCACGAGAGCAGAGTCCACAGCGTCCTCCCTGGACTCCCTGGTGGGTCTGACCTGCAGCTCCAACAGCCGAACCGTCGAACGCTGACCCCCTGTTTGGTAAACCGACGAATGCTGACTACCCGCCCCCTGGTTTTCTATGATGTCAGTGAATTTCTTCACACGTCTTTATTATTTACACGTCTTTATTATTGTCACAGCGTGTGCCCGCGCACCTTGATGACCTTCTTCGGGTTGGACAGCCCCCTCCCCTTCGGGACAAGAGCTCCCGGGTCCCTGTAGCTGCTGCTGTCGACTGGCAGGCGCCCTGGTGGCACTGCCAGCCCCCTTGGGCGGCCTCACGGCAAGGTTGGTGCTTCAAAGCCACCAGTCACCCTGTGGGAGGAAGCGGGGGCAGTGACCCTCAAGGTTTACAGGCGGACATCCTGGATGTGGAGGTCACTATGCGTCCGGGTAGGATGGAGGGCAGGGGGTTTGACTTGGGGGCTGCTGGCCATGCATCTCTTTCCCGGGAACACTTTCTGACACAAGTTAACCAGTGTCATCATTGTCGGCTCCGACCGCAGCGACCCATGCTCCACAGAACCAAACACCGCAGGGCCCCACGCGTCCTGACCACGGCTCCCGCGCCTGAGCCCAAGGACACAGCCGCTACCAAGCCACCCATCTGGTGAGGACCACCCTCTTGTTTGCTGCCCCTCCGCTTCACCAAGCACAAGGAGGCGCCTCTCCGGGGACGGGTGGAGGATCTGGGGGTTCAGGTTGGGGTGTGGGTCTGGACCAGTGAGCTCCCCAGGGCGGAGCCCAGCAGATCCGCTGTGGGATCGCGGGCGACGACCGCAGCCGCCTTTCCTTCCGGGCCTCTGGTCTGTCTCCTCTCTGAGCGATGCTAATTCCAGGGCTCCATTCATCGGAGCTACGAATGGCAAAACCACGATGCTGTCGGGAGCAGGGGACCATCTGGAGAAGTCTCGGAAGGCAGCCCGCTAGAACCTCTGGCCGGCGTGGAGAGGGCCCTGTCGGGAGCCTCTCACTCTCCTGCTCTTGGTGGGGATTCGCAGTGGCTCCGCACAGAGTCTCTGAGCGGGGAGACCTGGGACACTTGGGCTGCTGAGCCGCAAGATCAAGGCGGTCACGCGAGGCCTCCGTGCCTCGCTTCCCTGTCCTGTGAGTGGGACCGAGGTCACCCCAGGGCTGTCACTGCAGACAGTGCAACGTGGTGACAGGGAACCTGACCCAGGGACCAAACGCACTTTTTCTAAATCGTGCCCTCGTCTACTGCTGCCAAGTTAAATCTGACCCACGGTGACCCTAGCAGATAGGGTGGCACGGCTCCCTAGGGCTCCCAGCCTGTGGATCTCTGCAGGGGCAGATAGCCCCACCTTTCTCCCATC